GGTGCTCTGGGCCCGGCAGGAGGGGCCGCCTTCATGTCTCTCAGGTTTGGTTTTTTACAAGATTGATTTATTAACTATGATACATATCACATAAGGCCTTTTCAGTTTTTACACCATTCCCATTGAGACGAATACATTACTTTGTAGCAAATACATGATTTTAAAAAACAAAACCAAACAAAACCACCTCAGTCAGAGATGCTTCAGCCTCGATTGACGGCTGACCATGCACTAATCGGGTTGGAGCCTCAAAAACCCACAACGTGTTTTAAAAAAAAAAAGGGGGTCTGGAAATTAAGCAAACATTCCTAACACCAACTAGAGGATGATGTCCTGGTTAAAGCCCCTAAAATACAAAGAAATAATTGTTATACTTTCTTTACATACAGTTCTCCACTTTTGCTGCAAAACAGAAATTTGGGCACACGGCCAGACTACTAACACATTTCAATACCATTAATATGCTTTTTTTCCCTCAGGAAACTCAAAATATTTGTTAATTCAACATATATAAAGATCATTTAACATGTGAAAATACAAGTACCAGAAAAATAAGCTGGCAGCAGCACTATTCCAAATTTTCAAACAAGTTTTATTCCCATACAATTCAGAGACATTGCCTTTTTTTTTTTTTTTTAAATGTACACAGGGAACAGGATTCTTTTTTATGCAAACAATAACTTACGCCCTGTCTTGACTACATGAAAGTGGAACATCACTGCCGCGGGCGCCGGCCCAGGGTGGCGGGCGGACGTGGCTCCCGGCTCCCGACTCGGGGGCCGGCGGCCCTCTCCCCATGCCGCCCCCTCTCCGGGGCCAGCGGTCCCGGACTCGACTCGGTGGGTCCTTTCACCTAAGCGCAAACGAGTGGCTTGAACCTGCCAAGCAACAGGAGGGCGGCTCCTCGTCCACCGTCCGCCGAGTCGGCAGGGCCTGGGAGCGAGTGCAGCGCCCGCTGTCCTGGCCCCCAGGGCGCACCATGCCCACCGCACAGGAATGTGGAGCCCGGCCCCCAGAAAGCCGCCCAGGTCCCTGGGGCTTCCTTCTCTTGGAGAAGCAACGGTGGGCAGAGCCCTCGGTGGGCGGCAGCGAGCCAGCGTCCACTCCTTTCTCGGGAACCCCAAGGCAGTTGTGGCTGTCCTCGCAGGAGAGGGAGGGGGCACAGAGGGAGAGGGCTTCTACCCGGTGTGGTTTTCAAGTTTCGGGGCCGAGGCTGGAACGCCCTCCAGGCCTCCGTCCCGAGACCAGGGGCCTGGGGCGGAGGCGCGCTGCTCCCAGGACGGCCCCCTCTGCCCACCTGGCAAAGACCAACACGCTCGGCGGGAAGGATCACACCCGGCAGCAGGAAGAGCAGGGTGGCAGTAGGTGTAGACACAGGAAACCGTACGGAGTATCTCTCAGCACTCCAGCACGTCAAGTGACGGGAAGAACGACTCAACAGAGAGCAGGAATAAATGTGCCGTGTGTGATCCCCAACACAACACAGCCAAGAATTCGGGGCGAATTCGCAAGCCACGCCGCGACCCCTTCCTCAGTTGTCAGAGCCTTCTAGAAGGAGCCTTCTGCTCACAACCAAGGGCTGTTCATTTCCACTGAATATCACCACCACATTCTTGTGGAGGTCAGACGCGGGCCAGGCAGAGCGCTCCCAGGCAAACTGCTATTTAGCTGTCGGGCGGGAAGCAAGTCCCATACCTCTGCTGACCTGCTCACCCATTTCGGCCAAGGCTCATTAATGCCCGTCCTGCCCTTGGTTCCAGAGCCGTGGCGCACCTCACACGAGAATCGTTTGTGAAAACACTTCAGAGCTGACCGCGCCGCATGCACCGGAGGGGTGGGGAGCGACCCATCTAAAGCAGCACGGCCTGACATGGGCCCAGACTTGCCCTTCTGGGTCTTACCCAAGTGCCCATTTGGTATGGGCGCTCACTCCCGACCAGAGGGGGAAGCCCAGGGCCCAGAACTACCACTAGTGGCAACGCCAACCCAGAGTGACAAGACTAACACCCCCTAGTCCGAGTCTGGAGTCTGGAGTCTGGAGCAGCAGAAAACTGGAAGCTCGGTCCCTGGCACTTCCTGTGCACTGTGGCTCTTGTGGGGCACGGGGGCCACCAGCTCCGCCCCCCACACCCTTTAAAGCCCCGGCAGGGCACAGGGCAGGCACACGAAGGGGCTCCCTGAGCTGGCTGCCAGGGGGCACCGTTGGCCCAGAGGCTGCCCTGGGGAAGGCCGGCTCCTGCTACTCTGGGGAAGGGGGAGGTCAAGAGCACAAAGTATTCCTCCTCCCAGCACGCCCCCCGCCCCCCAGAAAAGTCACCATCTACACATCCGTTAGTCTCAAGAATGAGGGGAACTTGGGGGCTTGTGGAGTCCCCCGTGCACAGCCGAGGTGGCAGGTGGTGGCGTGGGGCACCTGGCCTGGTGCACCAGCACAAAGTGGGCGGCCGAGGAAACAGGCAGTGGGTGGGGATCAGGCTACTTTTGTCCCTGTCCACAGGAGGGAAGGTGGTCCCAGGCCACGCACACCCAATACCTTGAAGGGCTGCCTTGGGGTGGGGGGGGGTGCGGACAGGTGGGCACGATCTAGAAAAAGGCCGAGATTAATTCTGTGGAGTCATTTCCTCGCTGCCCGGGACTTAGAGCGGAGGGAGCTGGAAAGCCAGAGCCACGGGTCTGCCACCACAGTCACCCACAAGCCAACCCGGGCCTAAAGCCTCAGGTGCAGATCGGCCAGGAAAGAGAGCCCTCACCCAGCATTTATGTAAAACATTCGTGTACCTTGGGTTTCTTTTTGACTAGTGTTAAAAAGAGGTGGTAAAACTTGCGGGGTAGTATTTTCCAAGCACCTTATGTTGCCGTACGAGAACTCTGAACAGTAAGGTATCCAGCTTATCCAGAGGGAGCAGTCGGCGAGCGCAGGCCCCCCCCCCCCCCCCCCATGGCCAACAGGAAGTTTTTGGGGCCAGACCGAGGCAGCTTTTTGTCAGGCCACCGGCTGAGGGGACCCAGGGCATCGGGGAACCCACCACAAGTGATGCTTCTTAAAGTGCAAAGAGGCCCGGAGGCTGTGTGGCACGCAGGGCCCCGAATCCCATGACCTGGGCCCAGGGCACCTTTGTGCCAGGCTCCCCTGCTGCAGAGGCCACGGCCCAGCCACGAGGAGTGGAGGGCAGCCAGTATCTGTAGCAGCCTCAGCACGGCCGCTGCACTGGAGAGACGGGTGGGCACTCGAAGGGTTCCCAGTGGGAAGGCGGGAAGGGCATGGAGGCTGAGGAGAAGGCCATTTCCCAGGAAGAGCCGGGCAGGCCCGGCACCCTCCTCATGACTCCGACTGCTTCTGTGACTTCTGCTACCCCAGGCCCTCAGTCCCTGTGCAGGAACCCGGACCACACTTCCCCGTATGTCACCCACTTCCCATGAAGTGCCCTAAGCACTGGGTTGGTGGTGGTCGGTGGCCTGGGATGAGGAGGACTAAACCAAGCCCCAGGTGCCCCCAGCGCCCCCAGCTGCGCCCTTAACAGGGACACACACACACACACACACACACACACACACACACACACACCCGCACAGAATAGTGTTTCCACAGCACTGTAGTGTGTTTCAAAGCAGACCAGGGTCCAGGCTGGTCTCCCAAGCTCTCCCACCAAGGGCTTAAACTGTCTTCTTGGGAAAAGGGGATCTGCTGACAGGGTATCAGTGGGACCCCAACAGCTTTCCTGGCAGCCACCCCTGGGCATCCCTGTTTCGCTTTTACCAAGGCAAGGGCCACCCGCCCCCCGTTTGCCTCTGCGAGAGGTGGGAGGAGAGCTCAGTCTTGAGGTCTGGATTTTCTTCCTTTTTCTCTTGTGAGTTATCGGAGGGGTTTTCTGTTTTTCTTCCAGCGTTCCCTTGTTTTAAAGGGAACGGAGGCCAGATCCTGTGAAGAGGGAGGGGGCGTGCGCAAGTGGAGGGGAGTCCCACGCTCTTGGTCCGGGCACACAGCCGCCCTCCCCCGGTTCTGACCTGCAGGGGCGACACCCTCAGCACGGTACCTTGGGTTGACAGAGCCGTGGCCCGCGCATTCCCGAGGAGGCCACCGGACAGGTGCCACCCTGACGGGGGTGGAAGTGCAGACGCGGAAGGTGGAAAGAGGTGGACAAAACGGACGGGAATTGTTTTCTGCAGGGACCGATGACCCCGCCCCGGGGCAGCCCAAATCTCGGAACCTGCTTCCACTGGCAGAGGCCGGGGCTCTGTCCAAGCGGTGAACGATGCCCTGAGGCCGCTGTGCACGGGCAGGCGGGGTAAGTGGTCTGGGGAGCAGTGAGCGTGTAGAGGGTCACGGGGGCCACTGCCTGGCCAGTTCAGTCCTCAAGAAGGTCCAAGTCAGAGAGCAGGGCGCCCTCTGGCTGCTGCCTACGGCCAGCTCCGGGGTCTGCAGCGCTGGGCTCGGGGAGCCTGATGGCCCAGCACAAGGTGTGGACTGGGGCTGGTGCTACCGCTGAGGTCTTGAGAAGGTAACAGGGGAGAGGGGACACTCTCCCCACTCCTACCCCAGTGGACCTGGTTTTGTTCAAGGCCACATGCCACCCCGCGGAAGAGAGAAGGTCACCTTTGGCCCCAGGCCTCGGTGGCTCACAGCGTGTGTTCGGCTTGCAGCTGGGAGGGGAGCAGGGCCTGCATGGGAGACTGGGGCGTGGGTGGAGGCGACTGGGGGGGTGACGGCTGACTCGTGACAGGTGTGGAGGTGAGGAAGGGGACGGTGGAAGCCACGGCGGAGGGGGAGCTGGGCGTGGCACCGGGAGGCTCACTGATGGGCCGATTGTGGAAGAAGAAGGGGCACTGCTGGATGAAGAGCTCGATGATTGTCTGGTAGGTCCGCGTGGCCGTGAGGGCGTCCATGGTGCTGAAGTCGGGTCTCATCAAGGTGGGCCAGAAGCAGATGGAGAGGTTCTCACTGGTCATGAGATTCACCTTGTTGTTGTGGCTGACTCTGTGGGTGACACCAAACTCACGGTCAGGGCTCCACAGGGCAGGGGGCCCCAGATGAGGCTCTCTGCCAGCAGGGACCCTGCCCTGTCCCATGTGTGCTCGTGGTCACTGACACCCCAGACTGCTCTGCCCGCCTGCCTGTCTACAGCCTGAACAGAGAAAAGGCCCGAGCACAGCTCTCCCGGGCCTGGCCTGGAAGTCGAGGTCGGAGACCCTCTAGGGCTGGTCCTCTGCCTCGGTGTCGCCACAGGGCCAGCCCCCGAGGAGTGACTCTGAGGTCTTGCCTCAGGGACAATCGCCCGGGCCTCAAAGTGTGTGACACTGCTACCCCATCAAACACCACTCTGGCGAGAGAAGAACAGGTTTGCCTGGAAAACCAACCTACTCTGTCTGTACATAAATCCGGGAAACAGTTACAGGCTTCCTGCCCACACTCCTGCACGTACTCGACGGGTTCGAGCTTCTTCACAGCACACGTACCTTGGCAGTGTTCTGTCACATACCGCGGAGGACCCTGGGCATGCCCGAGGCCACACGGGCCTCTCAGACAGAAGCAGGACGGGCATGGGAGGAGGAGTCGAGACCCCAGGATGCCCCTGGTGAGCCAGACGTGGCCTACTGAGGAGGGAGACGGCAGCCCTATCACTGCCAGGCTGAGGACAGGGCCTTGCTCTGCGTCACGCTGCTGCTCACCGGCCCGGCCCCTGACTAGCGATTTCAGGTGGAGGGAAGACCCGAGGGCAAGCCCGGCCACATACTTGTTCAGGTGAGAGATGACGTATTTGAAGACTTCGTGGTTTTCCTTTGGAAATTTCTTGAGTACTTCCTTAAGGGCATGCAACTTCTGCTCCCGGTCATTGATTTCTGAGGAAAGAGAAAACCAAAGACTTCATGGCCACAGCTGGTGGGTGTTACGGGCTCGAGAGATGGCAGTCCTGGGCGGGTGGTGAGACTGGTGGGCCGGGGGCCGCCTAGGGGTGGCCCAGGGCTCTTGAACCAGGTCAGCCCCACTCTTCCCCCCGTAAGTCAGTGCCCACAGCGGGCACACCTGGCGGTGGCACCGACCCAGCAACCGGGCCCACCTCGGGGTCCCAGGCCCCTGCTGAAGGGGAGCACTGTGCGCCCGGGGCTTCCTGGCCCCCCCACCACCCGAGACTCAACGATCCACACAGACTCCCCATACAGAACACCATTCTTCGCTCATCCGGTTGCCCCCGGAGACAGGAATCCCGGTGCAGAAAGCCCGCGTGCTTCCTGAGCAGACGGGTGAGCACTGCCACCCACCCACGCCCACAGACTGTCTAGGGAGGGAGTCTGTCACAAGACCAGGGCTCTGTCCTTTCCCTAGAGACACAAGGACCCTCTACACATCCCCCTATTGGAGGAGCCGATGGAAACAGTGGGGGAATTCTCATGCAGTTCATCAAAGGGCCTATGCACCCTCTTCCCCCACCACCACCCACACTTCGCCCATCATGGAATCCTAATGTAGTGGCAGTGTGAAAACAAGCTAACTCGAGTAAGGGCTTATCCACACCAGGCCTGGTTCAGCAAGTCTTTGCTGTCCTACGAGGAAGGGGCTTGTCGCCCTATTGAGGGATAAGGAATCTCATACCCAGAGAGGTTACAGAGCTGGGACTCAAACATCACTGACTGGCTGTGGATATCATGTTCCCTGGGATCCCAGCTCCCTTCCCTGAATACGCCTGGCTTATCTTGGCTAGGAGAGCCAGCCTAGACAGATTTCTCTGAGCATGGAAAGATCCCCCTGTGGCTACTTCTTAGAACTGAAGGTGATCTCTAGCACTCAGAAAAACTAGAGTAGGGCCCAGGAAGAGATAACAGCTATCCCACACTTACGGTTATGGGGGTGGATGAATGGGGGGATCGCTAAAAAAATACGATGGTTCCCGACTGGCTTGGGGGCACAGACTCCTTTGGGCTGGATGTGCGTTCCAGAACCTCTCCCCAGATAGGCTGTGTACAACCCCGTCTACGACCTCTGGAGTTCACGGACTCGCCCAAACCCATCACATTCCTTAGGAAGCCTGTGGCCTCCAAGTTAAGAACCTCTGCGGTAGGCATTGCCCCTAGAGGGTCACGGTTTGGGGAAGCGCAGGAGGAGCCTGGCTCGAGCTGGGCGAGGAAGGACAGGTGGTGCATGAACGGTGCGGGGGGGGGGGGGGGGGCGGGGGGCCGGGGGCCAGGGCCGTGCGGTGGGACAGAGCCAAACCCAACCCACACGGTCTTGGGTACAAATTCTGTCCCTGACACTCGCCAGCTGTGGGATCTTGGGTGAGTGACACATGTGAGTGTCAGGCCCTTGTCTGTAAAAGGGGCTGGGGATGGTGATGCCATACTGTGAAAGGAACAGCACACACACAGTAAGCATCTGGAGGTGGTCCGAATGTCAGGAAGCAGCGGGAAGGGAGGCCACAGAGACAGGCAGGGCCAGAGCGACCCAGAGCTTTTGCCGGTAGGCTCACGGTCATGAAACTGGGGAGTTTTAGGACTCAAGACTGGGACTTGATAACAACAGTGTTTTGAGAGCGTCTGTCTGTTAGAAAATGACTGAAAAGCCAAGGGAGCGAACTGGGTGGGGTCATTATCACCTTCACTGCTCTGCGCCTAAGATTTATTTTAAGGGTTCCACCTTGAGAACACGCTTTGTCTCCGGCCTTGAATTTCAAATACTTTTTACTGTTAAACTTCAGTAAAAAGTTTACTTAAAAATAGTACACTGCTCTAGGGAGGATGCGCGATCGTCCTGACACCCGAGAAGCACGGGCAGGGCTCAGAATCTCACTTCATGAAAAAGTGATCGCACCCCCTTACAGATGCAAGCCCGGCCCAGGTGTCTCCTGGGCGCTGGTGCGGCACAAACGCAGCTGTGTGTTTTCATCAGGCACCTGACCCCTAGGGCGCCTTCACCCAAAAGCGGGTCTCTGCCATCCTGACTAGAGGCGGGAAGCGGGGCTGGAGTGACAGGTGCCGGTCTTCTCCTTCCCATCTATGGTGCCACAGGGATGCTGGCTCCCTTGGTCTTCCTTGGGAGGAGGGGGAGGAGGGGGAGGAAGGGGAGGAGGGGGAGGGGAGGCAGAGGTGGGGGTACCGGGCTGCCTCGATAGTAACTCACACCCCTTTCTCAGGAATGCCACGTGGTGCGGCAGCATGGGGCCCAACGAAGACCCAGATGGTCCCCCCTACTCATGCTTCCCCTCTCTTTCTCCAGCCAGCTTCAGGGTGCAGGTGCTCACGAGAGCTGGAGAGCACAGGGTTTGGCAGGAGGAGCAAGGAAGTCAAGGAGACAACAGAAAGCCTCTCGGTGCAGGGCCCGGCCCTCTGTTGTCTGTCTCACGAAAAACACGGCCCGTCTTGCTGACCACCTTCTGACCTCATCTCGCTCACCTCCCCCCTCAAGCAAGCGAACCTTCTTCCCGGTGCTCGGGACGCCAGTGATTTCTTGCTCTGCACAGGCCAGAGTGCTAGCGGGGCAGCTTCGGAGCCGCTGTCTGTGCAGCCCTCGCCGCACTAGGCTCACCCTACACGCTGGCTGGGGCAACGCCAAGAGGCAGCGCCAAGGACGTAAGACCGGTGGGGGGAGGGCGGCCGGGCACAGGCTCCGTCTCCCGGTCCCCCACGTCTGCTGCGGGTCCCCTGCCTTCTGCCAGGCCGCAGCGCTCTCCGGCTTCAGATCCTCTTTGAAGGACGACTCGGGTGGTGAGGGGCCCCCCCCCCAGCTAACATGTCATACTTGTGAAATGAGGTCTCAGCTGACGGAGATGGCAAGACGGGTTCAGAAGAGGCATTTTCAGGCCAGCTGAACCAAGGCAAAATCTTTATACAGACCAGGCAATTTAGAACCAATTTAGAACTAACACATACCCTAAGAACTCGGGAGGGGGGCGCCTGGGTGGCGCAGTCGGTTAAGCATCCGACTTCAGCCAGGTCACGATCTCGCGCTCCGTGAGTTCGAGCCCCGCGTCAGGCTCTGGGCTGATGGCTCAGAGCCTGGAGCCTGTTTCCGATTCTGTGTCTCCCTCTCTCTCTGCCCCTCCCCCGTTCATGCTCTGTCTCTCTCTGTCCCAAAAATAATAAACGTTAAAAAAAAAAATTAAAAAAAAAAAAAAAAAAAAAAAAAGAACTCGGGAGGAAGGGAAGGGGACAGCCAGAGGCCACAGCCTAGAGGTTAGCTCGCCACACCCCTCACAGTATACAGAGAAACTAAGGCTCAGAGAAGTAAGAATACAGGCCCAAGGTCACACAAATTGCTGTCAGGGATCTCGATCCCACACACAGCCCCTGCCCTGGCCGTGCCGCCCTGCTGCCCATGTCACCCCAGGCCATCAGACAGGCTCTAGGCTTGGACCTGCTGCTGCCCCACACAGTGCCTGGAGGAAAATCTGATGGCCTTCGACCATCTCGCACACCTGCACCACCAGAAGAGGAAAAAAGTGGCTCAAGGTCACAGCACCCTCTCAGTGAAGCATGCAAGCACGTACAGCATGCACCCTCTACCTCTCCCTCAGGTACAAAACGAGTCCAAGGCCAAGATTTCACTCCGCCGGGCTTGGAATGGAAGATTCCGGGTATCTCTCTCCGGGAGGCGTGACCCTGCAGTAACCTGTTCCATGCCTCCTACCCCGCCAGACCGAGGCAGGGACTACACACTCCTCTGTCTACTGCCATTTGTCCCTGTCCCACACAGGGCCTGGTACGTGCCAGGATGTGAGTGAGGAACACCCCTGTGACCTTAAGCAGCTATCTCGACAGACAAGAGGAGGCATGATCCCAGGATGTTTACCACCTCTAGCTGTAAGGCACCCTGTCTCCCAGTGGGAATGGTAAGACGGGAGCCAGCGCCTGAACCACTTGGGTCCCACATCCCTTTGACAATCTGATGGAAGCTGCTGGTCTTCTCTGTACACTAAACTGCACATATGGAGCATTACAAGTGATTACGGGGCTAATGAGGCCCCGGAACCAAAGGTCCTTAGGCTCAGAACTTCTGGACCAAGACAGGGCTAGCTTTACGTCCCTCTGGCAATGAAGGACCTAGGACAGGACTGGCTGGACCGGAGGGACTCTAAATAGGTGGTGGTGAGGCTGGCGGTGCCATAAGAGGACGAGGGGAAGACGTGGGGCAAGAACGGATGATAATATTTGGCGAAGGCCAGGATGAGGTGTGCGTGTGAGATGAACAGGGAACCCAAAGCCCTTTTCTCTGCCTCCTGAAATCCTGGTCCTCCCTGAAGCCACAGCTCAGGTGCCATCTCTTCCACGAAGCCCTCCACCCTGCATTTTCTACCCTTCCAGCTCAGCTGGCTTCATTCTGTCTGGCAGGTAACTAACGTATGCACCCTGGCAGGGCAGGGACGACGTCTCTGCATGGAAGGTCAAGCCCCAGCGTGCCACTCCCCAGCAGTGTGGGTGACGGATGCTACTGCCACTCATTTCTGAATCACCCACACATCACCTTGAGTGTGGTAGGAAGACAAATGGTAAATAATCACAAAAATCTCTATTTGTGCACACATTTTCAGCAATGTTCAATATTGTGAAATTCTGGAGCTAACAAAACAATTTGACAGTGACCTTGATATTTGTGGTGATGGAATCTGAAACCATTCTCAAGCCCTGAACACACAGACACAACAGCTCTTAGTATTAAGTGGGAAGAGCTGGTCAAGTTGATGTTGCCATGGAAACCCAGCCAGGCTGGGAATAGCTACTTTTGGGCTTGAGAATCTTCGTTTCATAATGTCCCTTAACACTAACACTGGTACTGCCTACTTGGTGCCCCTGGCTCAGTTAAAGCCACCCCAGGACATACACAGCCCACCTTCACTCAACTGCTGTGGCCTTGAAAGGTGCCATGTCAGCGAGATCCTCTCCACCCTTCTGCCCCCAGGTTCAAGACAACGGAACCCCGGCTGACTAGCTCGGGCACAGGAAACACACAATGGGAAGAGGAAGCAGAAATCTCCACCCTTTTCCAGGCTGCTGCAGCAAGGGGCTCCCTTTCCCAACAGTGGAGACCAGGGAAGCTGCTGTAGGAAGGGCAGCTGATTCTCTATCAATAACACCTCCCTCTCCTGCCCCCCCACACCCCTCCAAAAACAAAAAGATGCTATGTTAGCAGTTCCTGCAGAGACAATGGGATTCTGTCGGGTGCCAGGACTCTACAAGCCTCTAGATGGCGCCAAGTCAAGACAAATGCTGACAGGAATCCACTGGCTCCAGGAGGGGAGTACCAGCCCATACCTTTTCTCCCCAACTTCCGCCAAGAGACAAGCTTAGGTGGAGAGAAAGCTGGATCGGCACAGAGATTTCCTATGTGGTTCACATCTGGGCCAGCCTGGAACCTGCTGGAGGAGTCTTTGGACAGCAGGGTCAGAGCAGAAGCTGGCACCTGTCCCCGCCCAACTCATCTTGGAGAAACCCGGACTCCTATCCAGAGAAAGCAGGTGGGAAAGAAGGCCCGGCAACCCTACGACAGCCCCAGAACCATGCGCTCCTGCCCCATCCGTGATGGGCTTGGATAAGATCAGGGGCCGTGAGAGATTTCCATGCACCGAGACCATGAGGATAAAGCGAGGCAAAGGTGGCACCCAGGTTGTGAAAGTTAGCACCGCGGAGTGCGCAGACCACGCAAAAGTGACCCGGGGGCCCCGCAGTTCTGGCAGCAGCCAGGTGCTGACCTGGGCACCCTCACGTTTCAGGGGTGGACTTTTGTCGGCACGTCCATTTCCTGAAGCCGCTAAGAATCTGTGACCTGAGACTTAAAACCCTGATTTGCGACTGCCCCCAAATTTCCGCCTCCACCACCAGCCTTGTGAGTAAACCATGCTGGCTTGAAACTCCCTCTTGTGAGTTGGGCACTGATGAGATGAGACTAAAGTCCTGTGTGGTCCAAGGAACATGGCTCCTTTTCCTCTTCCCCACCTCCATGGTCACCGGCCAAGACACTCCCTTCTGCAGCTGCGCAGCGATGGCTCCTTCTGGGGGTCCCGGCCCACCAGAGCCGCACAGCAGGAAGGATGCCTCTGACTAAAAAAGGTAAAAAGTGCCACAAGGTGGGAAGCTGCGGTACTACACAAAGTCCGGGAAAGGCTGCCCGGAGGGAAGGCTCCCAATCTGGTGGACAGATGCCTCCTGAGAGAAGCAGGTCAGGGTGGAAACGGCTGGCAGGGTGGCCAGGATGGCTCACAAAGGTCGCCATTAAAACCAGAGGTGCTGGGGCACCCGGCGGCTCAGTCGGTTAAGCATCCGGCTTCGATTCAAGTCATGATCTCATGGCTTGTGAGTTGGAGCCCCGTGTAGGGCTCTGTGCTCAGGGCCTGGAGCCTGCTTTGGATTCTGTCTCCCTCCCCTTGCCCCTCCCCCGCTTGCTCGCTCTCACTCTCTCTCTCAAATATAAACAAACATTAAAAAAATGAAAAACAACAATAACAAACAAAAAACCAGAGGTGCTGACCTGCCACCCCCCCGGCCATTGATCATCTGGTCAGGGCAACTGGAACCATCCCTTTCCCCCCAGAGGTGGGCTGGCCCCAGACTACATGCTAACTTCCTTGTAAGAGGGATGGGCAAGCAGAGGGGAAAAGAAATACCTGCCCCCTTTAACAGGTCTCTTACCGCCCTGCCGCGAGGTCTCTCCTAATATTTCATAAGTAGGAGCGGGGACAGTGTTGTAGGGAAACTAAGGGTCCGGGAACATTGTGTCAACCACACTTACACTTTGAACAAGCACAGGAGCAGATCTGACCCAAGTCTGCTACAAAACCAGGCTAGTAAGTCGTGGAGTTTTGGGGGAACCTGTAATGATTTTGCTAGAATGCTTAGAAAAGCATCTCTGGTCTACAAAGGCGGGGGTGGGGGTGGGGGCTGATCTACAAGCCCCTACGGCATCATCCTTAGTTAGTTCCCTGTCCTTATATCCTTCCAACCTCAGCTCTAAGAGCCAGAGTGTCTGTTCCCTGAGCACAGAACTCATTCTTACTGATGCTCAGCTCCTCTCCCTTAGTTCAACAAACACAGCCTGGAGTGCTGCCTGGGCCCACGAGCCGGGCTGGGTTACCAGTATACTCACTGTGTGCCTCCACCAGATCAATCTGCATGTTGTACGGGACCAGGGGGTCTGGCAGCTCTGAGAAAAAGCTCTTCATGGCACCAGCCACGGTATTCACTGTAAAGTCTTTCTCTGCCAAATCCAGGTTGTGGTCTGAAAGGAAGTTGGGAGAGTGAGGTCAGTCTAAGCTGGAAAGAAGCAAAAGGAAAACTCAGTGCTTGGAGAAAGGCAGAGAAACCTCGAAGACCCTGGGATGCTGCCCAGGGCTGGCCTGGAGCCTGGGCAGGGACTCAGGATTATCAAAGACTGAACAGGAGGTGGCATTCCCTGCTAAAAAAAAAAAAAAAAAAAAAAAGCTGTGAGATTCGCAGACAGAGGCTGACACCCAATGCCTCCTTCCAAGGTCATCCTTTGAATAAAAGCAGCTTCACCCCCTCCTTCTGTCCTGCCTTTTCCTTACACCCCCCTGCCCCCCACCCCCTTGGAAAATCAAAGGACTTTCCTAAAAGGTTGGCTCACTTTTCACGGTGGGTTACAGAATGTTACCAATAATCTCAACTCCATCCTTATTCCTTAAGGTGGCAGGGTGAGCAGACTCCTCTTTCTCCCTCTGCCCCTCCCAGCTTATGAAACCAATGACCTCTGTGTCTTCACTTTTCTTTAAATACTTTATTACATTCCCGATTTACAAGAAATCATCTACTGTTAGACACTAGCTATTTCCATTTGGGGCGGTAGAAACCATTAACAGATTCTTGCATACATACAAGTACATAACTGAGTGTGTGGCTCTACCCTCGTGCTGACGTCAGGCCTCCCATCCTGCAAGATTCCTTAGTGCGTGCCCTCCCCGCACTGCTGGCTAACCGGCTGGCCGTGGCGGGGTTGGGGGCCTGCTCCTGGCCACTGCTCTGTCCCACACGCCCCACACGGGCTGCCTGGCTTCAGAATCTGGCTTGGTCTCCTCAGGCCCAGCCACACGCTGGGTTGGACCCTACTCTGATCCTCAGCTTACTTTCCTCTCTGGCTGGTGACATCTGAGAACTTTCATTGCTTTGGCTCGTTTGCTTCTGGCACCAATGGGTGTGACTTCTCAGCCCATAGTGTGCTCAGTTCTAACACTTAGAGTTTAGCTCTCTGGCTTCAGACCTCTGAGACTCAGCTTTGGAGACAGGAGTCCCGGCCAAGAGCCAGTCTAACTCATGAGACTTCAGCTTTGGGAGTCTGGGTCCCAACGCTCAGCTGATCATAAACGGTCCCTCGCTTTGTCTCTCTCGTGCAGGGACTCTGCGAGGGGAGTCATGGCTGAAGGTATTCCTGGGGTTGGCAAAACGGGACTATTGATGCAACCCAACTTCAGATTATGTGCCTGCAATTACTCCCCGGGGGCCCAGGGCAAGGGAAGCAAGGCCCTTGAGAGGTGACGGAGGCACATGTTGCCCTTCCCAGGGTGAGAGAAGCCAGGCACCTCGAGAGGTGACCTGGAATACGGTCAGTGGACGGTGACACGGGGGAGCAGCGGGCTGACTCGGGTTCGGCGCGGGGAATGCTTCCTTCTGGCGGCAGGGCTCGTTCCCCTCCCCTCCGAGTGGCAGTGTGACCTCGGAGGGAAGGCTAACTGGGGCCAAATGCTTTCTCTTTCTCAGTCACCAGGCCAGCACCTCTTGGCTCCGGGGCTGTGCGCGGCAGGACACCCCGGCAATTTGGCTGTCCCGTCCCCCCTGACCGGCTCGAGCCTCCGATGCTCAGCCAGGCTGTGGCCTCACCTTGATCAAACTGTCTCTGCAGACTCTCCATCTCCGACTTATTCCCACTGACCCGGTAGATCCCTTCTGTGCTCAGTCCTGAGGAGAAACAAACAGGTATCTTAGGAGCAGGGAGTGTAGAGAATGAGCAGGACTGGACTTGAGCAAAGACGGGGCGATTCCGTGAGGAGCCCACACGGGGGAGGAAGAGGGCGAAGCACAGACTTTCCTAGATGCTTCAACCCACTTCCCCCATTTAAGTTTTTACTTCAATATTTAAAAATATTTTTTGTAAAAATTAAAATATAGAAGTACCTCAGCTAAAGATAATTTTTGTCATTTTGATGTATATTCTTGTATTTTAATTAAAAACTTCAAAACAACTTTTTTTTTTTTTTAGTGTTTATTTACTTTTGAGACAGAGAGAGACAGAGCATGAACGGGGCAGGGTCAGAGAGAGAGGGAGACACAGGATGGGAAGCAGGCTCCAGGCTCCAAGCTGTTAGCACAGAGCCCGACGCGGGGCTCGAACCCACAGACTGCGAGATCATGACCTGAGCCGAAGTTGGACGCTCAACCGACTGAGACACCCAGACGCCCCTAATTAAAAACTTTTAAAAATATTTATTTTTGGGAGAGCACAAGCAGGGGAGGGGCAGAAAGAGGGGGACAGAGGAACCAAGGCAGGCTCTGCACTGACAGCAGCGAGCCAGACATGGGACTCAAACTCACTAACTGAGATCGTGACCTGAGCCGAAGTTGGACGCTCAAACGGCTAAGCCACCCAGGTGCCCCTTAATTTTCTTTTCTTTTTATTTATTTTTTTTGAATTTTTTAACGTTTATTTATTTTTGAGACAGAGCATGAACGGGGGAAGGTCAAAGAGAGAGGGAGACATAGAAGCTGAAACAGGCTCCAGGCTCTGAGCTGTCAGCACAGAGCCTGACGTGGAGCTCGAACTCAGACAGTGAGATCATGACCTGAGCCAAAGTCGGACGCTTAACCAACCGAGCCACCTAGGCACCCCCTTAATTTTCTTTTAAAGTAGGCTCCTTGCCCAATGTGGCGCTTGAACTCACAACCCCGAGAATAAGAGTTCCATATTCTACCGACTGAGCCAGCCAGGTGTCCCTTGAGTTTTAATTTTTTTTTTTTAAATGGGAGATAATGCTGTGTTTTAGCCTGACCTTCTCACTTACAAAGTTATGTTGTGGGCTCATTCTAATCATTAACTATTCTTTACAACATGATTTTAATGACATCAAAGTATACAGTAACTTTAAAAACAGTCCTATTGTTAATCATTTAGTTTTTCCTGAGTTTTTTTTTCCTGTTTAAATACCCCACAATTATGTTTCTTCTGTTTTCTGGAAAGCTAGTAAGTTTAACAGATTCTTGGCAATGTGTGTTTCTTACTTTGTGAATTTCCTATTCATGTTCTTGTCATTCTTTTTTTTTTATTAAAAAAATTTTTTTAATGTTTATTTATCTTTGAGAGAGAGAGAGAGAGAGAGAGAGAGAGAGAGAGCGTGAGCAGAGAGAGAAGGAGACACAGAATCCAAAGAATGCTCCAGGCTCTGAGCTATCAGCACAGAGCCCGACGCAGGGCTCGAACTCCTAAACTGTGAGATCATGACCTGAGCTGAAGTCGGAAGCTCAACCGACTGACCCACCCAAGTGTCCCTAATTTTTAAAAAACGTTTATTTATTTTTGAGGGGGGGGGGAGAGGGAGGGGAGATTGGGCATGACAGCATGAGCAGGGGAAGGGCAGAGAGAGAGGGAGAGACAGAATCTGAAACAGGCTCTGGGCTCTGAGCTGTCACAACAGAGCCCGACGTGGGGCTCGAGCCCACAAACTGTGAGATCATGACCTGAGCCAAAGTCGGATGCTTAACCGACTGAGCCACCCAAGCACCCCTGTTCTTGTCATTCTTGTTCATTTTTTACGAGTGGTCCCTCTCACTGTGTACTTGAAAGAGGCCTCTGAATAGTAAGGAACTATGTTAATGTTACAACATTCCCCCTTTTTGTTATGTGTCTTCTAAATATGTATAATGAATTTTTTGAGGTATGTAATTTAAAATTTTTAGGTTTTCAGGACCAGTCTGTTTCTTTATCATGTCTCCCCTTGTCTTTAAACATTTTTTAAAAAGTTTGTTTATTTTGAGAGAGACAGCCCGAGCAGTGGAGGAGCAGAGAGAGGGAGAGAGAGAGAGGGAGAGAGAGAGAGGGAGAGGGAGAGGGAGAGGGAGAGAGAGAGAGAGAGAGAGAATCCCAGGCAGGCTCTGTGCTATCAGTTCAGAGAGCCTGATGAGGTGCTCTATCTCACGAACTGTGAGATCATGACCTGAACTGAGACCAAGAGTCGACCGACACTCAACTGACTGAGCCACCCAGGCGCCTGGATGTCTCCCTTTGTTTTTATCTTTGAACAGCTTTTCCTATTTTTAGAGCAGGTACTCTCTATTTCTTTCTTGTTCTTTTATAATTTTTTTTTTTCACTTAGCTCTGTGATCCTTTTATAACTGATTTAGTATATACAGCGTTAGGTAAGGAAAAAAAATACTAAAATGTAGTTAAGTAATACAGAAGAACATAAAGGATCAGGTCAGAGACTGACTCACCCCACCCTTCAGCTCTCAACCCCTCGGCACAGGAAGCACCGCTCAGGTTAAAGTGGAGTCCGGGCCCTGGCTACTGCCTCCACTGTCCTCATCTCAGGGAAGGAGAGGCCACGGCTGTGCCCGAGACCACAGTTCTAAAGGACGAGGAAGTCACAGTGAAGAGCAGAGTGGGATCTCATGGCTAAACCAAGCCTGGCCCCTTCTGAAGACTACGGTTTCGAGCAACCCTGGCTAGCTGAAGGGGCCCTGAGGATGTGCCCTGGAGCCAACACCAGAAGGCAGTGTGGGCAGTGGAGACGGGACCAGGCCCGGAAGTCAATTAGTGAGCTCCTGAGAGCCAAGTGTCTCAATGTCAGTTATCACCGTAATTACTGCCTCTGGAGAGGCACCCATCAGGCAAGATAAAAGCAGCAGCCTATTTCTGGGGCCCCGCAATGGTAGCAGGTGAACTCTAAAGAACATCGAAGCAAGAGCCATCAATTCTCTGGCTTAAAAGCTGTTAACTGCACATAGGCCTTCCACCCCAGAGAAAAGGGGGTTACCGGGCCAGCCGTGAGGACGCCCTACCTTGCAATGCCTGGCTACAAAGGAGCTGCCCTCACTCCATTTGTGGGGAGGGAAAAGCACGTACACTTTCCAAACCTGAGGCCCCCGACGAACCCCGCTCGGCAACCTTGCTCACTGCCTCCCTTTCGGCACTGACGTTTCCTGAGTGTCTCTATGTTGTGCACTGAGCCGCGTGCTTCCCCACCACATCCACCTACCACTCACTCACTCACTCACTCACTCAATAAACGATGATGCCCCTGAACCCTCCAGCCCTTATGGTAGGAGCTGCTGGATAGTGAGAACACAGATGAGAAAAGGAAGATTCTAAAAGGTGAAATCCTCGCCCCAAACTGCACAGATGATAAGAAGCCCAAGTCCAGGGCCTCTGTCACCCTTCTGCCTCAGTGCTGTTCCGGAAGATGTCTGGCATCTATCCAACAGGTTGGGGTCCAGACCACAGTCTTCCCCGCAGAAGATATGCCACGCTTGAGTGAAGTCCATTGGTCCTCGCCATTCTGGGTCGCTTTTGAGATGGCACATCCCCTAATGCTGTCAACCCCCAAAGGTCAGAGTCAGGGATGGACCTAGTAAATTTCCAATGGTCTCTTTTCTTCTTAGTGACTTTTCCAAAGCGTCTCAGACATATTTAAACTTTTTACCTATTTCACATCCCAGGTAACCAAACATACAACACACACACACACAATCATCCACACTTTCACATTTTGGCAAGCCCTGTGTTATGTGTCAGCAGGCACAAGGCTTCACCTCCTATAGGCTGAAAATACAACCTACTTTCTACATACTCTTCCCTTTATCTGAATATCAGCTCCCTCCAGCACACAGGAAACAACGGCACAAGTGGCACGGGCTTAAAAGTCCCTCAAGAATGTGGCAATGCCCTGGTCTGAGCCCCAGGTGTGGACAGGCCCCGTAGGAACTGCGGAAGATCTGACAGCCTCAGGCCATTCACCATCTTCTGGCAACTCTGACCTCCAGCGTGGAGAGAAGTCCTCTGCGCTGTCTCCTCGTGGCCACCTGCCCCAGCACCGGAGGGCAGAAAACAAGCTGCAAATCAGCTCTCTGGAAACTATCCGAGGCGTGGGCCTGCTGAAACCTCACTAGATGGACGATCACGAGAGTGGAGGCATTTACAAGCACAAGGCCAGCTCCGCAGCGTCAATTCATCATCAACTTAGTATTTCCTGTAATCGGGACACGTGTTTATTTTACAAAATGCCATTTTAAAATAGCAATTCTGCTGCTGCCCTACACAACGCCACAGCATAATTTAGGAAAGGTATCATCTGCTTGGCCACTACAATTTTTCACAGCTACTAATCAGACATCAATTAAATAAAAACAAAAGCTCAGAACAGACTGTAAACACCACAAAGGCCGCTACCGAAACAGAGCCCAGGGCTAGCGATACAGCTGAGAACCACGGCCCCTGACACAGCAGGACCAGCTTCCCTGGGCTGCGCCTCCCGGGACCCACGCAGAAACACTCTGGGGTGGGGGGTGGGGGGGGCGCCTGTGGCTCAGGCCTGCCAGCAGGAAGCAAAGCCCTTGCCAGCGGTGCCCCGATGACACATCCATTCCACGCCCGCAAGTCTGCTTGAGAAGCTTCAACCTCGACTCTGAGGCATCTCTGCACACCAGAAATCTCCAAAGACCCGCTATCAAAGCAGGGCCTCACCTACAGTCCTCTTTCTTTCCTTTTTAAAAAGTCCTATCTGAAAAAGCCCTACAAATATCTTCTCCATTAAAGCTAATTTTTGGGAATAGAACAAGGGAAAGTTCAGAATGGCCAAGGTCACTCTCTTCAAATACCTCAACAACTGCTACGTGAACAGTCTTGTCCAACTGCTCTGGAGAACAGGGCTACGACTAAGAATGGAAACTGCAGGAAGGGAAACGTTCTC